CATTGTAATGTTTACTGATAAACTGCCAAATTTCATTAACATATGCTTACTAATTTAAAAGTTATAGCATGAAAGGTATAACAAGTACAGACTGGTTATTAGGTCGGTCCTAGGGACCGAGCCTGTACTGAAAGAGTTAAAAGGACCAAAAGGAGGAAGCTTGATCTTGCTGAAGGCTAGATGATTTTTCCCCCTTATTTTGTTTCACTTTGTTTTTTAAGTGTCTTTTTTTTTAAGTGATTTTTTTGTACTTTTCTACAATTCCTCAAAATATTCTTAACCATTTTGAGTTTCTCATTTTGTTTACTTTTCCTGGACTTTGCTGGTTTATTTTCCTGTATTGTTTTCACCCAGTAGTGAGTCCTCTTCTTTCCTTTTTTTTTAATGTGATTTTTGAATATGTGGCAAAAAAAATCAAATTACAAAGTAAAAGTTATTTGTATTTGATATTATGGAGAAAATAAGTTCAGAGTTAAGATTCTTACATAGCCTTTTGGCTCATACATTTTAAAGATCTCTCAATTAATATAGTTGAAACAAGTAATAAATTTTTTTAACTCTTGACAGGTGCCACACCCACCTTCAACAGATTTGTTTGAGCTTTGTAGCCTACATTTACAGGTTACATACACATGTATATAGTCATTAGAAAGAGCTCATTTTACACTATAATCTAACAATAGTTATTTTGAAATTGGCATGCAGTTGTCATCACAGAGTATATGTGACTGACTATAGTATTGTTGGCTGCTTGATCGACTATAGTACTTACGGTTGTTTGTTATCTAATTATGTTATAGTTAGAGATACAGTTCAATTGTAGTCAGATCCTACTTTTATAGAGTAGTTAATTATGTATTACTAATGTTTTAAAATTCCTAAATGTTTAAACATTTTCAAATATAAGTCATACTTTGCATCAGTTCTCAAGGCTTATGATATTACTCGCTGAATGAAAATTTTGCTGAAGCGATGTGCATATCTGTCAGAGACACTGTAATATGCAGCGAGAGCACCATTGACTTGTGTCAAGATAAAGAATAAATTGTAAAAGACAAGAAAGGAAAATAAAACATTAAAAATTAACTATATGTGAAAAGGAAAAGAACTGAAATTATGAATATAACCAGAAAATATCTCCAAAAGATATTCTACAAAAAATTAAAAGGTAAAATGTATGTACTTTTTTCTATTTTCTAATTTTAATCATTTCATTTTATTGTACAATGATGATAATAGCTAGTTAATGATATGATAGAGAAAATGAAAAATAAAATCTCAACATTTACCTTAAAAAACTTTTGATATTCATTTAGAAGGTTTTAGAGGTTACGGAAATGAAATATGAAAACAATAAGATGAAGACAAGTAATTTTATTTTAAAAATGGAAATCACCTTGCACTCAAACTATTAACAGTTTAAGTACAAATAACTACTAAAGATAAATACCATTTTTATTAGAAAGACATAATTAAAATAATGTCACTCATTGTGTACAAAATACTTATAACCTTTAACAGAATCTTATATGGTTTTGTGAGGAATGCTCAGAGTTATCATATGTTTTTTTTCATAAAAGGCTTTCACCACTCAAGGTGATATGAACTGTGTCAGCCTGTGCAGAAAGGGTTAACAGAGCAGATCAAAAAGTTGACTCTTATTCTTTTAATGTCTTATGATCTATATCACCATTTCTTTATTGATCCAACAAAATGTATATTTAAAGTTCTGTCTGAATTATTCCATATCTTTCTTAAATATGAACTTAGATATTTGTTACTTTAAGAAAAAATATAAAAATATGTTTATATAACTTTTACTACACTGGAGAAACTTTAATGCATGTTCTGGCCAGTGATAGTAACTCAGCACTTCACAGTTTCTGTTTTAAATTAGAAGACTGACAAGCAAGAGGAAATTTGGTCATGGAGAAAAGTTTAAATCTTGCCGAAGTAAATATCTTACTTCTAGGCTTAAATATCTGGTAAATTATTATTTCAAAGTCTAATCTATAAACTTTTAAAAATCTAAGAAAAATGTAAAATGATTAATGTGTAATAAACTTTAATGTTATTTTGTATACCTCATTGGTCTGATTTTATTATTATCTCATTCACTATCAGTTATGTTAAATTTCTAGTGATACTATTTTGTGTGGAACATGTCAGACTTCAGTGTTTGAACTAATGTATTTGTTATAACAGTTGTTTTTCAAAATCTGATTTTCATTTGTAAGGCACAGTTACTCATGACACCAAAAATGGTAATCTCTAATTTTGGGAAAAGGTTTTTTACATAGGACTTGATTTGTATAACCAGCTATATTTTTTAACTTGTTTTCTCAGAAATATCCACTATAATGTTCAAAGAATAGAATGAACAACCTTAATGTGTGTATAATATTCCACAGCATGGCCAAGTGGTTAGCATGCTAGACTGTGAATCTGAGGTCCATGATACACTTCCCATTGCCAAAAAATTGCACTTTGCACTTTTGGCTGTGTGTGCATTGTAAGATTAATGGTCAAATCCCACAATTCTGTAAGATCAGCTCAAGAGCTGCCACTAGGTACCATTCCATTAGTGTTATCAGCTCAAAATTAGCACAGATAACTCTAATTTCATGTGTAGCTTTGCTTGAGATTTACAAAATAAACAAATGGGTACTTTCCTAAATATGAAGTGTTTCTTTTGCTTTTTTATATTACTTAAAACCTATGAGTTACCACACAAACTAAAATTATTTTTTATCAATTAGTTGAGCATCTGTGTGTTTTGCTTACTCATGAATATGTTGGTACATTGAGTTATGGGAAAGATGTATTAAGATCAGTGAACATAAGCATTTTTATTTCTTATGAGATCTATTATTCATGTAAAATAGTAGTTTTAATTTCTTGTGTATAGTTTAAATCATATTGTCTTTTAACAAATCCTTTGAAAAGTGAAAAAAATCAAGCTAGTGTACAGTTTTACCTTGTAGTTTTTGTTTTCACAAATCCTTGATCCTAATTCTTCTACAGTGTGTATATGGTCGGCCAGGAGAGCCTGTGATCACCACCCAAGCTTATACTGCAGTTATTCACCATAATAATTGTCCTGATTTTTATGAAGAGGTGAGAAAACAGTAACTTTTGTCTGTGCTTAAAGCGATATTATGTTTTATACAATTTTTGAAGTAAACAAACTTGTGTTGTTAGTATTATTAAAATCCTTGAGTGCTGCTTATGGTGTTTTAATTTTTAAATTTCAAAAGCTTATCCTAAAGAGAAATTTAAAGACCTCTATCAGTCAATGTTTTATTGTGTGATTGATTTTAAACAGGAATATTTCAAATGCGATATATTTTATCTGCCTCTATTTAAAATTTCTTTTAAAGTCACAAAGTGTTTTAGTTGAATATTAACTACCTTTGGATTGGTATTTCTTCTATGCAATGTATAACTTGTACTTCAAAGATATAGAAAAATTATCTTTTTCACATAATATATCTGGTATATTGAATGTGTTTAGGGTAAGTAGCTAATTATTTTTTGAAATGTCATTTGAATTGGTAGTTGTCTGACATTTTTTGCATTTTTCAGACAACAACTTATTTTGATCCAACAGGTAAAATTAGTTATTCCTTCTCATGTGCATGAGAAGCATCACATCTTGTTCACATTCTATCATGTGAGTTGTGAGCCTCCAAAAAAATTCTAAGCGTAGAGACAGTCCTGTTGAAAGTGTGGTGGGGTATGTGTGGCTTCCTCTCCTGAGCAAAGGAAGGTATGTAAAAAATACAAAACAGAGAAAGAGGTGATGAAAATGAAATGAAACTATCTATATTTACTTTATGGCTTTTTGCTGTAAATAATAATGTTGATTTTTTCATATGTGGACTGTGGTTGCACCAGTGAAATGTAAATAGGTTATAAATACTCATAATACATTTTCACTTTACTGTTTGTTTTTTGTTCAACCTCCACCTCATGTAAGTATGTTTGTAATAAGTTCCGATGCTTTGCTTGCATCTGTTGATATAAAATAAAATAAAATGTATCAAGATGTCTACTGCCATTTATGCTGAGAGTTCTGTGAGTGTTTTAAAGCATGATCTAAAGCAGGCATGTGCAACTTCCTACAGGGCACGAGCTGGATAAAAATTTTTAAATGTAATAGCAGGCCACACTGTATGAAGCAAAAGTAAAATTTAAAAAGACTGTTACTTCCTAACCAAAATTTCTTGTTATTACCATAAAAAGGGTATATATAGAGTAACAGTAGAATATACAGTGAATGAGAGTATTATCCAAATAATAAAAGTTATGAAAAATAAAATGTTTTAAGTCATTTACTATAACAGTAATTGGATTAGATGCATTCAGTGGGATGCCTGGAGCATTTCTCTCACAAGATGGTCAGTGTTCGGGAAAATATGTGAAGTTGCTACATACAATGTGTTTTCTAGATGTGAATCAATTATTCTTGTCCTTGTTTCAGATTTCACAAACTTCATTCTACAAAAAAAATTTTGCAGATGTAAGTGCTCCCAAATATGGTTATTCTCTTTTGAGTGAAGGCAATAAGTTTTGGATATTTGTCAGCTAGAAAATATTTCTTATAAAACTTGGCTTTTGAAACATCCTTCATTTTTGTCTTCAGAATTGAGTCCTCTTGCAGCTCAATAAGTTCCATCTGCAAAGGGGGTGCTGTTTGCTTCACATCAACATCAAATGAGGAAGAGAAGGTTTTAAACTTGCTTCTTGTGCTTGAAAATCCCAAAACCTAATGTTTAATTCGTCAATTAAAACCTTCAACTTATCTGCAGATGAATCACAGTCAAAATTTTCATTGTGATTTGCAAGCATGGGAATATGATAAGCACTGCCTTTCCTTAGCTGGCTTTCTCAGAGTTGAAGTTTGTTCTGATATGCCTTAACCCTATCACCACAGGCATCCTATACAGTGCATGTCATCAAGTTTTAGTGACTTGCATTCAAAATTTAGTTAAACTACTTTTTGTTTATGTTATACAATTAGTATAGCATAAATTTGTAATTAATAATCCATATTTTAATGGTATATAAGTTTGAAGTTCTTAATTTTAAGGCAATATTAAACAAAATCCTGAATTTCACCCAGTGTGAGAAATGGGACATATTTTCTCTAGGCATCCTCTCTTCTCTATTTTATTCACCCCCACTCCAATAAGTACAAAATTTAGTGTAAATTACTCACTATAAAGTTGCCATTGCTGAGACAAACCACAATTTTTATAACCTTTAATCCTGTTTGGTTACAGAGCATCCAATAGAAAATCAGACCCCTTTTGCCACACCTACCTGTCACATACTTTCTTGCAGGATTTGTTAATAGTTCTCTCTTATTCTTAATACTATATTATGTATAACCAATAGAAAATTCAGGTTTTCATCTGTCAAATAACGTATCATATTACATTGTTTTCTGAACAGAAAATTGTCATTTTCTCTTTTAGTACAAGCTTCGTTCCCATGGGAAAGATAATGACTAGCTTGAATGGACTTGTAACAGCTCTTGTCAGTAGTTTAAAAACAAATGTATAATTTTGGTGTGTTGCTCAAGAAATCAGTGTAACTTACTCTCACCCCTGCAAAACAGCCAATAGTACATAAAAATAAGCCAAAAAATATGATGATTTTATATAACTAGGAAACTTAAAATCAAATTAAGCATCAAAAAATAAAAACAAATCTTTATAAAATTATAGTTTCAAGATCCTGATATATACACAAGCATACATATATAAATAAAAAAGAGGACTTATCTATATTAAATTATTTATGCTGTACATAGGCATAAAATATATCCTTTAAAATAAATTGTTAATGCTATATATACAAGATACAACAATAAAATACAAGAAATTCTACAAAAAAGATGCATCTGTCTTTTAGTTACTGGTAGTCACCAAACAAGATTCCTGAGAAAAACTCTTAACTCTCTCTCTACGGCTTGTTCAATTCGACTGAGCTCTTGACTCAATATTGACATTTAGAGTTTACATGCTATAATTTCTAATGTGTTTTGTGTATCTTCACAATCAGAATTTTTACTAACAATTTCTCTGTGAATATATGGAGTCAAAATGTTGACTGCTTCGAGTGCAAAGTGATTTTCATGTTGAGATTAAAAATACTTTTATTCTTATGAAAATTGTCAAGTTTAATTTGCATAATCTTTAAAACTTCCTAAGTAAATTTTAATTTTTTTCAGTAAAGCTTTACATTTTATCTGTTATTTCCTCCACCCTAACTGTATACCTCATAACCACCATAAAAAATATGAAATAAATCTAACTACCCTTCTTTTCTTTCTTGAATGACTTCAAATTGTAACAGGAAGCTACATTTGTTTATCCTAAATAGCTAGAGAGCAAATGTCACACTTCTCATTCTAGTGGAGATTGAGCATTTTTGTAAATATTTCCTCATAAAATTAAGAACTTAAAACTTATATATTATTAAAATTTGATTTAGTAATTACATTTTGATGCCAGGTTTATTAATATGATTGATAATAATGTAGTTTAATTAAATTTTGAATGTAATGCTGTAAAAAGGTTGTGACATGCACGAAAAAGGGTACCCATAGGAAAATATTTAAACATTAATGGAAAAAAAAGGAAAAATTATTTAACTCTTTCAGCACAGGCTCAGTTCCTTGTGACCATTTTGTGATTGTTATATTTTTCATGCTATAACTTTTAAATTATTAAGCTAATGTTAACGAAATTTGGCACATTGTCAGTAAACATTACAATGCTTTCATACACAAAATATCAATTTTTTTTATTAAATCTTAAAGTTTGTAAAGCAATGTTTTCTTGTGCCTTTTTTTTTTCTTTTCGCATGTTGCCTATCTAACATACAAAGTGATTTTCCTTTTAAGATTAAAAATACTTTTATGCATCAGAAAATTTTCAAATTTCATATGCGAAATCTTTATAATGTCCAGATAATTATCAAATATTTCTTAAGAAAAAACTTTATATTTTATCTGTTATTTTCAGCAATGAATCTCTGTACGATGTGGTAGATTTGACCAATCTCATAACCACCATAAAAAATTAGGAAATAAATATAAATTATGCCTCTTTCATTCTAGAATGAACACAAATTATAACACAAAAACATAAATGCTTAGACTAAATAGCTTAAATTTCGTAACATTATACATTTATATATATTTAGTATTTTTATTCTATTGACCTTTCAGCCATGCCTGGCTAACAATACAGAAGTTACAATGACGCCGCACATTCATATTACCGTATCCAATAACATAAATCTGACCTTTGGTCTGTACAAAGTAGTTTGTCTTGGCTGTGTTTTAGTTGACTAATATTTTGTAAAATATAGTCACATTTCAATTATTATACATTATATATGTATATAGATTATTGCTATTTAGAAATCAGTTCTTAAACTTATTTTTCTTAAAACATAGAACAGTAAATAAAGAAGTAAAGCAAACAATTCTCTCTTCTAGTTACAACCTTTATACTTGGTTGCTGCTTGATGTAGGTTGCTTAAGCCTTTAAAACTTTTGCACATGGAGGATATTAAACAAAATATTTTTTTTTAGGTTTTATATATATACATTTGAATAACTAAGAGATCATAAATTACTACATAAATACCATAGAATTCCATTATAGTTTATCAAGCTTAGTAACTAAGATGTATTTTAGTCTAAAAAAAAATATGAAATTTCGAGCAGCCTAAACACACACCCTACCTTCTTGAAACATTGGTTCAAAAGAAAGAAATGGCATCCAAGCCCATTAAAATGGCTGAGAAAGCCACTAGGAAGACATTCTGAGCTTCTGATTGGTTATTCATGTCATATATAGAAGTAAGTGTATAGAAGGGAGTGTTTCCAAAAATGGAAAGAGGTGGGTGGGGTACCACTGTGTTTGATTTATTACATGAACAATATCTTAGCAAACAGATATCGGTAATTTGAGTTTCTGATTTGTACGAAACTATAGACTTAGTATTTTGACATTACAAACATCTAATGTGAACGAATGCTGCATTGAACGTACCATGTCACACACAAAAATTGATGTTTAACTGTGTTTTTTAATATTTACTTTTAAATTAAGAAATTGAGTAATGTATAATACTAAAATTTGAATTATAATCTACAGTTTGATAACAAACTGAAAAATGTGAATGTAAGTCAACAAATGAGTTAATATGACCTTTCACTTGTGACCCGTCTCAAAAGGGTTAATAAAAAATTAAAACAACTAATTCTAATACAAACATTATGTACATGAATATACCACCACTTACTAAACCATCCTTCCAGACTGGATTGAAATCAGTTTGGATTGGTTTTATGGGCTGTGCCATTTGTGAGCCATCCTGGGACAGGAGCAGGTGGTATCTTCCTGGCTGATCCTGCTCCAATGATAATACTGTGGTTAGGAAAAAAGCCTGCTGGTTCCCTAAACTCTGAGTCAAAGCCATAGAAAGGGTCAGGCAGAGTCTGCTTGTCGAGAGATCCCACCAGCAGAACTTTTTCACAGGCTCTATGTGTACTGCTGGGATGCCAACAGAACTATGAAGGGTTTGATGCTTCAGGCTGCTCCTGCAATTCATTGTTCAATTTATCTCCTTCCATGTAGTGACACAGTTCTATCTGCAAAGTTTTTAGCATGTCCAATCTAAAACAAGGTAGCCAAAAGAGTCAAGGATTCAGTCACAAAAATTTCATAAATGAAAGGTACATGGTCACATGGATTCTGATTGGTCAGAGTTCAGTTAGAAGTATATGTTAAAGCTCTAATGGTCTATTTAGAGTGAAAAACTATTGCCTCAGTCAATTAACATTTCTACAGACCTATGCGTACTTGTTTATAATGCCTGTAGAGAATTTATCTCCTTCATCAGTAAATGCTCAGATCACACAGGCTACATGCTTTATTTACATTCAGCTGTGCTCTACACCATTGTCATTGCTATTACAACAGCTCACATTTACCTTGGAACCCAGCTATATTCTCTTCACTATTGTCTTGCTGTTATGCAAACTGAGCCCAGATTAAATAGGAAAGAAATAATGGGCATGACTGTAAACTCAAGTTACCAAAATTGGCCATCCACTACAAAGACACTAACCTTGATTTTCTGACTGTGGAAACATTAATTTAGACATCTCATTTCCAATCAGACTTCCTTCAGATACAATTTTAACAAAGCTAAATGCAACTATGAAGCTATATATATACTCAGGGGTTACTTCTTGCCTCTGACAGTACACTCACATTCTGCACTTTCATGCATTTCAACTGCATTTTGAACTGAAAAACTGTTGAGAAAATATCCAGTAAAAATGTGTGCTTCTCAAAATACTACATTCTGATGAATGGAAAATGTGAATCATAATAAAATAATACACTAGGTGCACAGTTTGTATTATATAAACTACTGTTGGTGAATTTTACTTTCTTCAAATAAGTTCAACTACTTACAAAATATCATTCACTGCTGCTAGCAAAATCACTAGATCAAATTCTGTTTTCTTCCAAGTATAGCATAAACTTAGCTGTTACTCTTATATTTTCTATAAAAATCCACTGCCTGCTGAATATTTCAGTTTTGAAACAGAAACATTCTGTCACCAGCTTTAAGGACTATATCAGGTATGTTGTATATTGAAATAATGCTTTACAAGCCAATAATCACAATTAACTTCATACAACAAAGTTGTATCATCAGAACAGATCCTTTATTCTCATTCATATGTTGCATGATAGTTGTGTTCTCAGTTTAATTGATTCATTGTGTTGTATAACACACATAAACAGCTTTATATAGCATCCATACACAAGTGGAACACCATAAATGTATATTACGATATTCATTTATTTCAATATTACATATCAACACTTTATCAGTAGTTGTAGACCTATATAGGGTAGCTACACCAGCTATAGTGCCATATCCTGCTGCTATTTACAAGCTGTTTAACTCAACACTTATTCTTGGCATTAAATAATAAATAAATTTTCAAAAGACTTTTTTTAAATATAATGGCCAAAAAGCTACTAAAATGTGCACATCAACATCAGATTGTTGGTTTGTGGTATAAACTTACAACAAATCTGTTGGTAAAAACCATAGTTTATGTTGTAATGAAAAAACGTCTATTCAGAAGAGAGCACAAAAAATGGAATTCCTAAATATGTGTCTCAAACTAATTATATTTCATTATTTATGGAGAATGTGTGTGTGACAGAGAGAAAGTTGTAGACTTGTGCCTGTAATGACTAACCTTTCTTTGTGTCTCCAAGTAAAGTAATGGCTGGATACGTGTCCAAATGGAATTCAAACCACTATGATATAAATGTTAGGTATATAACACTTTTACCACATTTAGATTTAGAGAACAAGTAGAAGTTTTTTTATTGACAGTATCTAAACTTTCAACATTATAATATGAAGTTTATTGTTCAGAATGAAAGTGAGTGTAAGTTGGCTGTTTTAGAAACTTTAATTCATAAAAGTCAAGATGGCTTTGTTGTGAGTTTGTGACACAAAGTAGCATTCTCAGATTTATATGCATATTTTGGTAGCATTGTTTCTATCATATTTAAAAACGATTTTGTGAAAGTTCTTGCCTATGAAGCTTATAATATTTGAAGAAACAACACTTCTTACATACTTAGATTAATAACATAAGATGTTATTTTAAAATAGATAAATTCAAAGTATTATAATTCATAAAACCACTTGATCTAAGCTCAGTAAAATTAACACCCCTACTACTATGAATTTTGATATTACAAAAATATTTTTGACATTACTGTTGCAATACATATGTGGGTCACTAATTCCAGTACTTGAATGGGAAAAAAAATCACAAAAAATTATAAACAGGTCATATCATAAAAATAAATTAACTTGCATTTTGAGTCTGAAATTAGAATTTTATTTTTTCTTTACATTTTAAAGATAAATTTCCAAAACAGAAAATGTTGTTCATCATGTATAAATTTAAATGTCCTGGCTGTGCCAAGGAGTACATAGATTAAATACTCATATTAAAAAAAAGAGTATACACAGAATTGACCAAGACTTTCTTCCAGTGTTGTAGAGTGTATGTTATCTGTAGACAGTTGTAAAGTTTCTGGTGGTAATTTTATTATATTGAATAGAGCTGATGATGCATTACTACAGTTGTGGAAACATAAAAAGTCTGCTGATTGCTAAATAGAGACCTGCTTGAAACCAACAAGGTTTGGCCTAGCCTTCACACCTCAAACTGTTAGTTCTTTATAAATTATTATATTTGTATTTACAGATTTATCAATTTTTATAAACTTTAAAATATTATGTGATATTCTCAGCTAAAGAACATCAAAAGACTTTGTCATCTTTGGATCAATTTGTAATTAGACACAAATTTGCTTTCATTTCTTCACATCTCTGAACTGTTCCAGTGAAAGTTGTATAGCAAGGCTAGAACTTACATTTTGCTGTTCCACTAGTGAAACTTTCTGTTTCTGACTGAAGTTGTTCTTTTAGTAGAATTAATTTGGTAATGTGGTCTCTGGTAGACTGACTTCAGACAGCCCTGTACACACATTAAACAAAGTTGACATTTTGTTTCTCTTATCTATACTGAATTTATATGCATCCTAATTGATAAATCTGCATTTAACAATGTTAACTTAGCATATTTTTTCCTTTTTTAGGTTGAATGTTGATCAGCATAATTTGGCTGTGGCTTCACATCTTCCAACAGGATATCTTTCCTGTGAACCTCTGGGCTTAGGCAAGGGAGTAAGTTCAAGCTCAACTGGCTCTCTGATGTATAATTACACAGTAAAATTATATTTTCTTTAAATTTAATTTTACTGAAATGCTGATTACCCATCAATGGAAATAAATATATCATTAAAGATATGTTTTTCAAAAGTTTTCTCTTGTAATTTTAACATATCACACAATAAGTGCCAGATTAATCAACTGAGCAGACAATGAACAAAATCCTTTTTTTAACCAAAAACAATGAAACTCAGTGTGGAAGGATGAGAATTAACTCTATATTTATATAAACATGTATATCAACTGTAAACATTCACTACAACAGAACATGTTTGAAACTTACAGTTTTAATGTGAGAGGACTTTGTACCAAAAAACAATTAATAATATGTTCATCAAGAGGAAATAAAACTGACTTATTACTCCAGGTAAAAGATAAATTTACTTATTAGTCTAGTTTTGACTTTTTTGTTTATCGAGTTATATGTCTACGTTAGTATGCAGTCACAAATTAACTTCGTTAATCATTTGTCTGTATATTGACTTGTAAACGTTTTACTCTTAATGGATCTTTAAAAATAATGCTTTTTTTTTATATAAATGACAAGTACTCTCCAGTGCACATTGCAGTCTTTAAATTATCTAATTTTGTGATTTGTTTCATATAAATTCAGTTCCTGAGGTAGGTGTACTACATTGTTTTAGCTCTGTTATTTTGTACTTTTCTTCATACCAGATGAGTTCCTGAGGTTTTAAGTTTTTTAGTTATTATCATTTTCATTTACAAGGACTAGTAAGTTTAACTTAACATTTAACTATCCAAAACTTAAGTACTTTAATGTGTAATTGAATATTAATATTTCATAGTCTTACTTATATAGATCTTGAGTTGTCTCCCCTTTCCATCTAGCAAAGCAAATTAGAGCATGTGGTACTTTTCTGTGCAGTAATGGTCTTTAATTATATAAATAATTTTTGAAGATAACTTTCTTTAATGGTGTATTGTATTTCTCAACCAAACTTGAATGATAATTATTATATATCCCACAAACCATTTTTATTTGTAGCAGAATAAATTAAAATGTGAAACTGGGCTGAGCTAATTCACAACTGTTTTGTTTTGGAGATACACTGATTTTGGGAGGACACATGTAAAACAAACACAGTGTATATTTTTTGGAACTGTACTTTCTTGTAATTGTTAATCCCTCTTGTTAATTACTATTAATATTTGTAACTACAACATAGAATAGTTTCTAAACTTCATCTTTAATATGATAGTCATATCTTCTTATTACTGAAATTAAAAGATATCCTTAATACATAGTAGTTACTAAACTTCTAGTTTAGTGGCCCTGATATTCGATGGCTAGATGGTGGAAAAGAGCTTTTTAAGGTGGAGTTGAAATTGGTATCTACAGTCTATACCAAGGTAAGATAACATTTTTTGTATTATTAACTCATTGCATATTGGAGTGAGCTTTAAAGTATTCAGAAAGGTATAATTATCAATGTAAAACTATGTATATAGTTTTATAATTGTGGTAATATTGAGTATTAGAAACTGAAGAGAAATTATTAATTTATTATTAGAAGAGAAAATTTGTTTGCAGCTATTGTATGAATATTTTATAGCATTATGATAAAATAGTGGATAAGGCACAAAATTATGTTAGTTTTAATTGAATTTACATTTAAAAATACTGTGTATCCCACCAAGTAAAATTTAGATTTTGGAAATTTAATCCTAGTATTACCCATAGGGAATATGCATGGACTCCTTTACCTTTTTAAGCACATTTTCCTAAACTACTTATATACTAAATTGTTTGCTGGTCCACAACGTTTTTGCTTACAGAATTCATAGTAACATGAGACACACAAAATATTTAATTATACCCATCACTGTTGTGGTTAACTCTTCTAATTACCCACTTTCTATGTATTTTACAAAGATAATGAGTGATTTCACCCACTTTTTTGTCATTTCTTTACACTATAATGTAATGGGCAAAATATAAAAGAATCACACCCTACTGACAGTGTACAGTATATTAAAAAAAATTGATAATTTGAGGGTTAAAACTTAACTTGATAATTTATTTTGAGGTTTTGAAACTAGAAATGTATACTGGTGTGCTCAGATTTGTGCTGAATTGCTCTCTAAATCTTAGATATGGTATATCTGATTTTCAGGTGCTGATTTTAAGCTCAAGATGTGGGTAGTTTGTAAAAATAGTGGTAAAAGTAGTTAATTCACAAAGCCAAGTGTATCATAAAATAGCATATTAACAACAAATATCTGTTTCTGTATAGCAATAATAGCAAGCTAGCAGCCAAAATAGGGATTTGCAGCTTCATAGGGGTTTCTTTTAGCAATAATTTTTAATTGTTACATTATTTGTTATAGATTTACACACTAGCTGATATAAAGGTTTTCAACTTCATAGAGATTTGTTATTTAACATCTTGTTTCTTTACTTTTTATAGCCATGACCTCCGATCCCTATTACCCTTTTTTAAAAACGTTAATTTTTTAAATATTCTAGTTTCAATGATAATTGCTTGTTGAAACAGCAGTATTTATTTCTTTTAATAGGATCTTCATTTACATAATTTCTTTTTGCACTGTCAGAAGCTCCAAGATACAAAATTTGCAGACTCAGAAATTAAAACTTTACTTAAGGTAAGACACAAAACCCATTTCTGTGGTTTTCTGTTGTAAAGGTAAGTTTAAACACGTGTATGGTTGAGCTTTATGTAATGTTCAGTATTTAGGGAAGATTTTAAAGGACCACATTTCCTAAAGAATGGGCAACATTTTCATGATAGCATGTTACGTGCTTTAAAACAAAATTTTTTATAACACTATTTAGTTTGAAACTTTCAAAATTGCCAAGTTTTCAAACAAATACAGCTTCAACAGGACAAAATTAGAACTTACAAAGAAATGGTTCAAGTCACCATTGTAAGGGGAAAATAATTAAGTAATCAACATTTTGACCAATTTATCTTTATAATGGAGGCTGTTTGGCCAAAACAATGACTACTTAATTTTTTCCACTTATACACATTTTAATCATTTATTTGTATTTTCAAAAACATTGATTAATCTTGGTGTGGTTTAGAAAAGACTGCAATTTAGATTAATAAAATCATATTTATTTCTTAATCTGCCCATTTCGTTTACCTTGTTGGATTCAGTGTAAAGTGTCCCATAAATTTTGAAACTAGATTTATAATAATCACAAAAGCTTTGAAACTAGATTTGTAATAGTCAAATAAGCTTTGAAACTAGATTTGTAATAGTCACAACATTTAATTCAAAAGTGACTGAAAAAAATATAATGTGTAACATTTAGAATAGAACATTAAACAACTTATAATAAATGAAATTGTTGAAGAACCTGTTGAAATAGAATTACATTTGTATTTTTCCTACATATAAGCTAATTTTTAATTGATAAGCCATAACGAAAAATGTTAAAAATATAGAATGTTTTTGTAAATAAGCATGTTGATTGAATGTGTTAGAAAACGTGTAGAAATTATAAAAGTTTACTCACATGTTATTTTAAGTGAAATAATTGAAGCCGAGAAGATTTATTTGTTTTGTATTGCTTTAATAACTGACTCAATTAAAGTTTTAGATGGCTTGTTGTGCAATATTTTAGTTTCTCCTTAAGTATGAGATAACAGTAAATGCTAAAACTTAGAAATGGTGTTTATTAATGCATCATAAATGATGTTGCTAATTAGTTACCTCTTGGGATTAGATATTTTTTATACTTTTCCCAATTTTCTTTTTTTTTTTTTTTCATGCAGAGAAACGTTAACCCTTAACCCACCAGGTGTCTTGAAATTCATGTAGAGAGATTTTTTGGTTGTATCCAGATGTTGAATCAGTACTATAACAACTGAAGAAAATTAATTTTAATGTAAAAAAAGTAAAAGCAGGTTATTCTACTCAATGCCAATTTTGATTTTCTATTTAATAGTTTAAAGTCAAGCAAAATTTAAAATGTCAGCTAAAAGCATGTTTAAACAATAAGTTATTACAAAGAGAAGTAATAAATGATTGAAGGAGTGGAAAACTAAAGTCAATGTTTAAAAATGTTTTTTAGTTTTTTTCATAAGTTATAAGATATACTGGTGTGAGAACAATCACTATTAGGCAGATAGAGATTTGTCATTAGTATACACAACTTACATGCAAGTTTGTTTGTTTCAGAATTTACATGCTAAGCTACACAAAGTGCTATCTGTGCATTGCCATCCTTGAATTTGAAGTGAGTAAATAGAGGAAAGGCAATTAAACAGCTCTTATCTGATCAAGTGGTTGCAGACTGACCACACTTTTATAGCATGCCCACGGCCCCAAACTACAAAGCATGTTTTTGCAGCATTGCTCCACAAACCATAAATCGTCAGCTTCATAGTCTGATCACATTAACCATTAATCCACAACCAGGCCCAAAATGGACTATATGCACTGTGTCCACCATAGTATTCAAACCCTCAAACTTACTGCTGAGGAGGGCTACATGTAAGTGGAAAGTGAAAGTAAAATAACAACTGCATATTGACAAAAAACAAAACAAAAGTAGCAATAAAATTTATAAATTATACAAACTTATTACCACTGGTGAGACAGTGAAGAATATCATGAGTAATGAATTTTGTTGAGGATTTAAAATGCAATAGATTTAATATGAATGCTCTTAATGTTCTACATTTCTATCCAATTTTAAAAGAAATTTATATATCATAATAGCTGCTATGATAGAAGTATGGACTACCTGGTGGGGAAATGGTTAATAATTAAAAAATCATGGGATTAAAAAATTTTCAGTCTAAAAAATAAAATTATGTAAATGTAGAATTGAGACCAGGAATCCCCTGTAGAATGTTAGTATGCACTTTTTCACTGCATTCTTTTCAACATAGTTACACAAAATTTATTAAATATGATTGTCTTTCTCATTTAAGTTTATATTTCGAATTTCATCTGGCTAGAAGTGAAACCTCAAATTTAAATGCCACATCTCAGGAGGCTTAATCGCTTGAAAAACAAATAAGAATTCATAACTTTGTGTTTATGTTCTTGTCTCTTCTCCTTATTGCATTTATTATCCAGTCTTGGGGTCTAAGTTGTTTGGATGTAGGAACATGTCCAAGTTTTCCATCTGTCTGTAGCAAGCCCCGTCCAGTAAGTGCACCTGTCTCGCAAGACAGTACCCCACCAGTGAGTAAGAAGCTCTTCTTCAGTGTGTGTGTGTGTCTGCATGCCATTGATGAGTTATTGCATGACACAAGTGAATAAAATATGTCACTAATACATACAGAAAGCATGGCTGCCTGCTGATAATTTGCTGTATAGTGTTAGAAAGAGCATGTTACTCTTAAAGAATAATAAACACACAGGAAACACACACAGGCCTATTCTACATACAAGTTATGCAAGTCAAAATTTATTAACATTATGATCTAGTATAGAAGGTTTAGTCAGCACAATGTACGGAAAATAAATATATAAAGACACAGTATGTGAAAAAGAAAAGTAGAAATATTTTGTCAAGAAGAAAGTAAATATTGGTTTTGATTGATTAAAGAATGTAAGCATTTATTATCATAATTTAGTTTAAGTAAACATTTATCTTTATAACTTGTAAAAAGTAAATTTTGATCATCATAACTTGTAAAAAGTAATTGTTGATCATCATAACTTTTAAAAGGAAGATGATGCTCACCATAAGTGAAAGCTAAATAATGTTCATCATAGCTTGTAAAAAAACAAATAAATATTGATCAACATGACTTGTAAAAAAAGTATATATTGATCCTTATATTTTGTAGAAGTTTCATATCAACTTTAATTATCAGTATCAATGTAATGAAACAGCACTACAAGTGGAAGCTGTTAATAATGGGTGTTGTAAATATTAAAGTAGAAAACGTGTGTATGTATGTATATATGTGCGTGTATATATATATATTCACTAATAACACATGAAAAACTGTTGGTTATTGTCATATGTACAGGAAAAAGATGTCTGTGCGTGTGTATAGAAATAGAAAATAATTGGGTTTAAGAGGATGTTGTATAGTGTAGTTATAATCACTGTCACGTGTATTTGTCATGACAACCAATAAAATAAAAATATATTATTACATGCAAGAAAAGCTACTTTAGAGATGACTACAGAACAAGACCTGTAGATTATTAATCATCATGAGTGACTATTAAAAATACATTTGTAGTTTTTGTTACTTGTGTTAATACAATATTACTGATCAGAAGAAACTTTGTGAGATTGGACAAGCTAGAGTTTAGTACATTTTAATGTAGTCATTCTATATATATATTTGGAAAAATATTTGAATGTAAAAGAAAAAAAATGAAATATTTTTCTGTATACGAGAAGCTAGGTATTAAACTAAAAAATAGACAAAAGTATTTTTTACTCTTCACATAAACATGACCTCACACTCAGATTTGTCAGAATCTAAGTCAAACTGATGTTGTCAGTTCACAGATACAAGTTGAGAACAGATATTTTTGTAACACATCTGATTTTTTGTGTGCAACAGATTTTTGCAGTTCACTAAAAACTTGCTATATTTTCTGTAGATATACATTGTACAATCGGAATTATATAGTCAGTATTCCTTCTCCAATATGTGGTCAGGCCATTTCCATTATGTGAATAATTTTCTTATCAAATTTTACCTAAGTTATAGTTTAACAACTTTCATTTTAAATTTTTTCTTTATTGTATGGCCAAACATTTTAAATACTGATTATAATTAATTTACAATTCTAAGCTCCTTTTGTGTGTATTAGCTGTATTTAACATCCTGCTCTTAGCTGCAAAGAAAATATCTACTTACAGTTAGTTGCTCTTTTTAAACATACAATTTTTTAGCACTTTTTAATTTTTAGTCTATTTTTGGTATTTTATAATGCCTTATTTTATCATTTAAATGTATAAGTTTTTTTTTTAAAATACAAATGGAATGTTTTTTTTTATAAACTTTCTCAGATCTAATGGTAAATGATTATTACTCAATAGACAGATTTTAATGGAGATCACGTGAAAAAAAGATGTTTTAAATTATTAAAATAGAATGAGTTAGTTATTGGTGATGAAGGCATTGAAAAAAGTTTTGCTGTAGAAACCTTTGTTTAATACCTGAGAAGTATAACTGACATCAAATTCTCAAAGTTAGATTGATTCTTTAATATTTACATTTAGGTAAAATTCTCATTGGGGGTATTTTGAATTCAGAAAAACTAGTTTTGAAATATAATTCTCCCAAACTTTTAGTCATTGTTTTTACAGAAAGCTCATTTATTTAATTTCTTACTTCTCATTTATTCCAATATATTATTTTTATTTTATCATCAGAAGGTATATGTGCTGTAAATAAGTATTAGAGATGAAAATATAGCACAATACTGGAGATGATTTATCAAAAAAAAAAAAGAGGTCCAAGGGATTTGAAAAGAAAATCATCAGACATTGTCTTATCCTATATATCGTTATTTAGCTGAAAAGAGAATTAAGTGACAGTATTGTCCTTACAAAAATGGTTTGGAACTTAGATTATGCCTTGCTCATAATAAAATATAAAATATTGCACACAAAATACATTTGCTTCACTCTTCAGAGTGTTCAGCTAATCTAATCAACTAAACTTATAAAACAGTACAATAACTTAGATACTATAGATATTTACTTTTATTGGTGCTAGTATTCAAATTGCAAACGCATCATAATGAAGATAGATTTGCTTTTCTTATCATAACTATCAAGAATACAAAAACAAATAAATAAATATTACTTTACAATAACAAGTGAAAAAAGAAATTAAGACAGAGCTTAGGTGCTAACCAAGTAATTTTATTTTTTCAGTTGATTTTCTTATGAGAGTTCTTTGTTTGTTGTAAAACTCAAAGTGTTAAAAACTGTGCAATTTAAAAAATGGGATCATGCATTCTTTGTTTTTTTAAAAACATATAACTTGTATTTTATTTATATTTTTTTGAGATTTTTAATTGTCTATATTTTTAGTATCTTATCCATTAATACATCTTATATGGAATATATATATATAATTTTAGAACATAGGAACTCTTGTTAATTGTGAATGATTATTCCAGGAAAAAAAACCTTTAGCTACTTTTACTCTTCTCTTATGTACCTTATTCCTGTAGTATTAGTGATCTTATCACATCCTGTATTTGAAGCCATCTCTTGCACTGCTCTTATCTGGCTGTGGTAAAATCTCATTTACTGAGATTTTTCTCTCACTTCACACCCTCATAACTTTATTAAACTTGTGTATTTGTATAACTATGTCACTATCAACAGGAATACTTGTATTTTATGAATGATGAAGACCAGACTAGAATCAAAGTTTTTCTTGTATAACCAAGTGATTATGAACTAATTAACTCTGGAAAGTCTTTAGGGAACTTTGAGATTGAAAATATTGTTCTTCTTAAAGAGCCTTCTTTCATGAAAGTTTGTACAAACCACCATTAAAAATCAAGGTTTCCAAACAAAATACATGAAATCAGGATGAAAGGAAGGCATTATGATTCAAAATAAACAGATCAAATTTATTAAAGAGAAGCATAATTAACCATTGTTCATATAAGCAAAGAAAAAGTAGGTTATAAAAATATAAAATACAAAAGAATAAAAGGGCTTTTTTAAGGATTCATTGAAAGAGAGATGTTAAAGCTTCATAATAAAAATAGTTTTATAAAAAATTATCATTTCACCACATAACTTAGATCAAATAAGAACATCACATCTAGACAATCATATGTCACAGTTCTTCAGTAATACACTTAATCTGGCAAATATAGTACAACTGAACTTTCAGTGAACAAACAGTTGAGTAACCTTTATAGCACACATGCATATATGCATTAAGTACAAGGAAATGTGCTTATATTAGCGCATGATTACTTATGAGTTTTAGGTTTGATATTTCTCAAAAGGTATACATGAGTTATTTAACCAAAGCAAGATCTTCCTCTACTTCAGCTACCTGCAATAACTTCTTTCTTCACTACAGACAGGAATCTATGCTATCTAGTAGAAGAGATTAACCTTTGGTTAGCCATGCCCAGCATCCTGCTTTCTATGCTTTACTTTGTCACTGTAAAGTGGAATGAAAGCATTGCTGACTGCTGTGCATCTCTCCTTGCATGACTGAGCATGATGCATGTCCTTCAAGGTTAATATACTTACATTAGCTTAATAATGGATGGAATTATTATGGTCATTTGATGTTATATTGTTAGACTGAAAGTTCTTATTTTCTGAAATTTTGTGGGAAACAAGGTTGTATTTTACTATTTTTAAAAGAAATATAACATCTTTACATGTAATAGGTGTATCTAGTTGCATCATCCTTCTTTTCATGAAGGTATTTCTCATCTTCATGCCATGAACATATAAATTTTAAACTTGAAAGTCTAATTTCAACAAGTCATTGGTTTTGTTTCTAACCACTTATGGTTTTTAACTTCATAATATTACATTGTTGTTTCAAAGCTCTGAAGGTTTTTCTTTTGATATTATTATTCAGGTCACCATAAAACGTCTATCATGGTTAAAGGTGTTACTTTTGTAGGAACATTTATATTTTGAAATTCCAAAAGTATTTATAGAACATACTATATGTGTGCAAATTAGAATAACAGAGCTTTGTATGTGCTAAAGTTCCATTTCAGGAAGTTCAATTTACTGCCCTGCAGAAATGTGTAAGCTTTATATTTTTCTGTGATTATAAATAGACTATTTATGTTTTTTCATCAAGTACACTTTCAGTGATCCATCTGCAACTATCATCAGGTTAGTAATGAACCAAATTTAGCTTAAGTTTAACACTTAAATATTCTAGTTTCTTAATATATAGATATATATATATATATTGTTATGTCTCCGTTTGTTAATTGATTTTCCGTAACTTCGTTCCGACGAAACTTAAGCAACACAAGTCCTTTCTTAATGAAACTGGTTTATTCTTTCCGAATATAACTTTACCGATACACTCAACTTCAACAAACGCTATAACAATGAACGTGCTCAATAATACTTCTGACTGCAGATCAAATACTCACTGTCTACACACATTACATTACCGCG